ACATAAGTATTAACACTATTGTATTAAATAAGTATAAAAAGTTTAATAGTATTAAACAAAATATCGGTAATGCGTACATAATATGCGTATCATATCATAAATGCTCGTAATGATTTCCGTAAATAATAAAAATATTCCGCATCCATGTAACCGCAGCTAATCGCGAGGTAGTTCATATTGTTTGAATATTATTCCACGCGCGGCAAATTATGCACATCGAATGACGGTTTGCACATGTTGAGCACACAAATGACGTATACTGGAATTGCAGAGTCGTTTATTCATAAAGTGGTATGAACAGAACAATATTCATATACAACAGTCATTTTAGTTTTAAAGAACATATGCAGTGAGTTTTAGCAATAGGCAGATCTGTATAAGCCGTCGCTGTAGACTTTTTAATAATGAGTATTTAAAAAAATATTGTTGGAAAAGCTTAGAAATTGTCCTAACATATGAGGGTAGATGTAATAATTATAACCAATCCGTCTAACCGTCCGTCCGAGCAGAGATAAAAGAATCTTGTGCTCACCAGTCATGCTTTCGACCACAAGTGAATTTAGACTTTAGTGTTAGTGTAAATAAGGTGTAAGTAGTGAGTAACGTGATGGTTGTGGTTGTGCGCAGGCGGCGGGCGGTGAGCGGGAGCGAGCGAGGGACACATGGCTGCACCGGCCAGCTGATAGCATGCCGGCGGCGGCGCGCAGCACCGCCCCGACGTAGACGATCAAACTACGAGCGCCACATTCACGGGTACATATCCTCACACGACTTCATACATCATACTTGTAGGCCGGCTTTCGTTGATTTTGTAATACGGTAGTTTCCAACTAGTCAAATTCAATACTTTTATCCAAATGTCAAACACAGTACTTGTCTATGAAATTTCTATGAAACTCCAAATTTTGACTTCATAGTATTTTTGCGTCTACTTATTTCTTAAAAGTTAGCTTTAAATATCTAAAGTTTTGTGTATCCATAGACCAGTGAATAAAAGTTATTTTATTATAATATTGAAACGCCGAATTCATTTACTTTTGATCTAGGAAACTACCCAATTAAAATCAAAATAATAATAACCATATCTCGGAAAACATAATTCTTACATATTCTAAAACAAATTCAACTGTTTGGCTCTTCGCGATAAACTAACAAAAGTACTGAACGGATTTTGTTGCGGTATTCAACTGTAGATAACTAGTACAAGATTTGGTTGCTGTGCTGAGATGCAGTTCTCGGATAGTGCAAACATTTGAAGACATAGTGCTCTTTACAATAATATATTATTTATGAAAATGCAATCATATACTTTTTGGTGATTTAATATTGCCAGACGAGATGCGAATAGCGTGTGTTTTTAAAGATTTTTATAACCAAACATTTTTTCAGTACGACAACAATAATATTGTATTGTCTCAATAAAAATAAATAACATAGTTATTTTATGCACACAGTTTTGAAGCTTAAAATATTTTGCTTTTTTATATCTTGCTTTTAGAAGATATAAAAATTGTGAAGCATTCATTTTTTATATCAAAAACATATTAAAAAAACAATTATTTCTGCGGTTAGATTACATTATTTAATTTCTTAGCCGTAACGTGATCTTAAAATTAAATTGAAATACCACTGTGAGCAATGTAAACATAAGAAAATATCAGGCTTTGCTTCTTTAACTATTTGCTACAAGGTAAGTTATCACTTTGCGCAAGTCATTAGCGACATACGCTGGATGTACAAAACGCTTTATTACATTAAATCGGTAGAATATTGATGGGCATACACCACGCTGGTGGTGTTCCTGACGTACAACAGATTGCTTTAATTCACAAACTTAGTTACAAGGGTCGCCGATATCGAATTATGTCCACAAAACTTAGGGCCACCCCTCTATGTACGTAGATACCAGCCAAAGTTCCAGCACCCTTTGTTCTATGCTGGCGATAAACGCGACAAAGCCGATCCGATTTAATCGTTCACGCCATGTTCGGTAAAATCAACTCTACTACGTGCTACGCGCTACGGTCGTAGCACGTGTAGCGGGCGCTACGACTACGCTAGCTACAAAGTATTAATTAACCGTCTTTTAACTTTCAAATAGAAGCATTATTGTAATGTGCACATTCTCTGATTACCCTAAGAATTGAAGAACATATAATTAATCTATTGTCTCCCCCCTTTTGCAATCAATTGAAACATGGCTGTAGCTTTACGTTTTTGACAAAGTTTCAGTAATAGGAACATATTTTTTTCTGATACTTTAACCAGTTGTGCTCTATAATTTAGAAAAATAACATCGGGTGAAATCTGATTAAGACGAAGTAGTGCAGTAATAATTAATTATTGCACTGTATTAAAAATATTAGAATACATAAGTTGCTTTTACGTTTGTTTTAAAGCACATGTTGTGGTTTGTTAACTATTAATATCGGTGTAGTATAATGAGTGTTTCACATAAAAATAAAATGCGGCTTATTCGTGGAAAGTTGGCTCGCGTCGAACACCGATGCTCATGGGAAATTTTTGTCATTGAACAGAACTTGTGCTCATCGGGGAGTCGCTGTTTAACAATTTATGTGTATGAAGACTGTTAACACGTAACCTGTCTCGATTCCACTCTGGTAAATATAAAACATTGGAGAGGCGCGGCAGTCTCACCGGGGCCCCGGGGAAATTTTGTCGATCATTTGTGTCAGCAGGGTACGTACTTTATCGATACACGCATACCTCGGCTCATTCCGTTTATCGTTATTTTGTGCTGAGCGATCCCGCGTGCATGATGAGGCGGAGACGACGTATGTAAAAACTCTTCATCGAATGAAATCCTTCTGACAAACGGAGATATTCGTTAAATATATTAATGAAGTGCAACTACCGAACAATTTAGTGTAATTAAAGAAAAGGCGGCTGTAGAGATGCTTTTTATGATTATGAGCCCCCAGCATGGCTTGAAATCAGTCGAATTATCCCGTCAATTAAAATTATGTGAGTATGCCGTAAAATAACATTAATTTGATATATTCAACGAATTTTAAAAACAAATATAAAGTTTTGTCGATGTATTGTCGGCGGTGGGTATATGGGTGTATGCAATGGAAACACTCCATACGTATTTATATACATATAGTCCATTTGTATAGGAATGTAGGGCGAAGTACCAGTGTGTATGTAGATAGGTATACCTATGAAGCCAAGACTGTATTCAAAGGCAGACGCCCGTGTTTGTTTGTCAGTCTGTTGATTTGGCTTTGAAGAAACTAGACTGTATTGGCTGAAGCTGCTATTGGTTGAAGTCATGCTGGTTATGTACATATCGTTTTGGGCCTAAAGACAGCTGCACTTGTGTCAAAGACTTTGTGCAATGTTGTTCTGTAGAGACGTCCAATATGCAAAATATAATATTTGAACACTTCTTTGGGGTTTGCGCAAAAAATTGTAAAAACAAAATTGTACAAATTATGGTATTCTGTACACAGAGAGGGAGTTGATTTCACTCACCCATGATAAATACATTACCCAATTCGTGAATCTTTACTAGCATACACAGGATAAATTATTACTACAATGAGAGGCCATTGATTCCTTCGAAATAAATCTCCGTCAATATATTTCAGGAGAAACACAAACAAAAGGTAGCTGATATAATAAGGTTGGCCAACTACTTAAGCCCTTCGTAAGCCAAACGAGTAATTGAAGGCCGTTGTGTTTATCAGAGCGGTCCACCGCAGCGTTCTCCTCGTGGATCGCTCAAATCCCAACAAATTGCTAGTTTAGGCCCTTTATACTCATAATCATATATGAAGTATGTCGATGGATCTGTTCGTGCGTGAAGATTGTGCCCCTAACCTGTCAAACGAAACTAAAAGAAATTTTCCTTTCCGGCGACACTGGCCTTACTTTCTAACAGAAATGTTGAATGTATGTGATGTAAATAAAAAAAAATTGTTTCAAAAGTTGATTTGATAAATATTAATGCCGGAATGTTTTAATTAATGCTCCAAATGGTGTTGCATTTGATATTGTGGTTAATAATAAAGCGGTGCAGTATAATACGAGTGGTATCCAATTTGTAATGATTGTGGTCGAAATATGAGCAGTTGAGCGGAGTGTGAACAGATGTACCGGCTGTTCAGCGGGTCATTAGTCACGTGTCTCATTTGTCACGTCGTTTGTAAGAGAGTTTTTCTTTTCTTTTCTTCCCGTGGGTTCTCATTAATGCTCACCGTTGTAGCGGACGTAGTACATATTAATTTACGAAATAAGTTTTTTAATGATTGGATTGTTTATTTGGTTTTGTGGTTCGACTACTAAGGGAGTACCAGGTTTCGATCCACAGTTTAAGTAAAAATGTCATCATTGCATGTAGTATGATCCATTCCTCCTTATTTTTATGGGAAAAGCTAAATCCGTCCCTGAAGGGCGCGTACTACGTAAAAGGCTTTGCTTGAGTTTTTAAGCGATATGAAGCGTGATATTATGTTATGAACTACCCGCGATTTAAGGCGTGGACTTGGATAGCTTCGAATAGACTCGACCGGCCTACGAAACTGCCTCTCTGAAAAGTTTGGAACGTTCCCCCGACGAGCAGCTGTGTTAAACACAACTTAAAACACAGACGCGTAATACAAAAAGTTAGTCACTTCCTCAAGGGAGCATGAAAAATAGAAACTGTATTAAGTTCCAAAATATTATTTTGCTTTATTACCTTTGTGGGAATACACGTAGTTATGTGCTAAGCCTACATGAGAATATTTAGCCCGTTGGTAGTTTTCAGTTTCATAATATAACTTGAGTTACCGACCGAGGTATGAAAAAGGATTAGCTGTGGTTACCGTGGCAATAGCTTTTATTCTCGTAAAAGATTTCTAATTCATAAAAAGGTTATCAAAGATAAAAGATCGACGATAGATAATACTTGAATGGTATAGGTACGACTGCAGAAGGTTCTAAATGTAAATCCAGGATAGCGCAATGTCAGCCAGGGTGGCGGGTTAAGCGCAATGAGTCACCGCGGCGTCGGCCCAGAGAAGGTGAAAGAAAGAGGGGTTTTTAGTCAGTAAGAGTCTGACATTCTTTCTCGCCTTACCCTGGGCGGGAGAAGTCATTTGAGGATTTTCCCCTGACAAAAAAAAAAGGATAGCGCAATGTAAAAAAAAAAACAGTTGGTCACTATTACCTAGACGTTTAGTTAGTTCGGCATTTTGTTATGTTATTCAACCTGTTCCATCCAATTGTTATTTTGTGCTAGGTTGTTATACTATATATATACGTATCTGAATATTAAATAGTAACTGGTTTCGCCAATCACAGTATCAGATATCACAGGTAATGTTTAGATATGACACGTGGCGTATATCGGATGGATTGACAGCTAACACAATGGGCCTATTGTAGTGTGTTATGTAGATACATATTCATATACCTACTGTTCTGTATACACATTGTGTTATATGTGATGTTTCAAGGATAAAATCTATCTTGAGCTATTGACTTATTGGTTACTAAGTTCGGGTTTCTGGAAATAGTTTAAGGGGAAATAGTATAATTACGAAATATATTATCGTGTATCTATACTAATATTATAAAGAGGTAAAATTTGTAAGTTTGTATGTAGGGGGTAATCTTTGATAGAAAGCTACAAGGTTTCTTAGTGCTATAGGCTATAAAACATCCCGCTACGATCAAATAGAGCTGAGCAGCGGGTTAAACCGCGCGAGAGTAGCTAGTGTTGGATAAGAAGAGTAGATTTTTTTTATAAATATTAGCAAGAATGCAATGTATAGCGTTTGATCTAAATATAATTTAATCTCCAACTTTGGATTTAATACGGGAATGTAATTCATAACCGTCATTAAATTATCCGCTCACAACGCTGACGGGAAGAAAAACGAAAATATTTAACATTGACTCGTATTTATTCAACAAAACGTTGTAACTTTTCGGTAGAAGGCTCTTCGTATGCATGAGTGAAAATTCGTTCTGGCAACCGGCAGAGCCGACAACTTTTCCTTAGGACATGCATGAATAAGTAACGGCATTTGTCGAAGAAAATGAGAGATTTGTCGGCAGTTTAGTTAAAAGCGGTATACAAGTCGGTGTGTGTTTGTACAGGACAGGCGACCTGGCGCCGCCTGCGCTACCTGCACAATGCCGCATTGTTGCCACTATTTGCTGTACCCGTTTTTCGAATTAGTGTTATTAAAATATAAAAGTTGTGTACCAACTCGGGCCACACTACAAGCTCGGTCACGGGACATGTTTTCTAGTTAAAATTTAATTCCTCAGTAAAACAGGCGGATGTAATTAAAGCCACAATGTACCCTTGTTTGTAGAGGACTCCAGATGATAATATAAGAGTAAATATTTTTAACCTTTCCGCTCTTTACTTGTTTCGGGACACATAAACGGGTGGACAAGCTCGTCGTTCTGACATTTTTGACAAAAATCTACGAAAATGTGGTTGCTGAAAATCCGCTCTCATGATACTGGTTAAAATTTTCTTTTTACTGTATAACATGCGATGAACAATTCAATTGTGTATTTTAAATAGAATGGTTGAGGCATGCTACCCATAGGTAATTATCCAAGCAAGTAACACTTGTTATAAAAACAAGTAACACTTGTTTTGTATTGTGCAGGAAGTCGACAAAACATCACTGAACTAACGTCGGCTTTAACATTAGCTTTGCTCTGGACAAAGCTTTTTCTATTTGCAACACGAAAAAGAACATGATATTCTCGTGAAAGAGAAGTGAGAAAAATAAATAAACTTTTAATTGATTTGTTAAGAGAAATGTTGTGAGACTTGTGTTAATTGACAGATAGGCACAATAACCCTATTGTTTTCAACTCACAGAACGTAATGGGCATTCCGAATTCAATTTCGGAATGAAAACGATTTTCGTTTGTGTTATTCTTAAAGATTTAGCTCTTGGGATACGCCTTTACATAAACAAACAGGGAATCTGAAGCCCACACTTAGAGAAAAATCTGGCGTTTCCAATTTGAGGGCAAACCCCCGCGGTGCCCTGCCCTCGCGTAGGGTAGCGTTTGAAAATAGCTATTTGATTTCTGTTACTCTTACCATTTCCATGTGACTACAAATCCCTTTTTCTGAATTGGCATTATTAAAAAAACCTAAACATTTGAAGTTAAGACTCGTACAAATATGTATCCTTGTATGTTAAAGTGTACGAGTAGTTATGTACTCTTTTTCTCTCATTTTAAATTACCCTTTCGTCGAAACCATTTTCAAAACTTATAAAAACATTATTTCGATCTCGACTTTTACTCGGGTGCATCGTAAAATAAATAAACGAAGTTCCAATACTGCGACCGCGGAAATGGAAAAATACTTGCTTCTCGCCATATATGGTAGTTTATTATTTTATACTTGGAGTGCAAGCGGAATATAAGATTTGTTTGCAACAGCATACAGTAACTGAACTAAGCATAGATAGCTGAGCACAGATTTATCGGAACTACAAAGTTTCACTATAACTAGGTCTCTTTGCACTATTGATGACATTCGAAGTACACAGTATTTTGGAAGTAAGCAACAAGAAACTTAAAGTACCAGTATATATTTAGAGCTATTCCAACTGAAAATACTCGTATCGTTAGAGTAGCTTACTAAAAGTAGATATCTTTTCCTATAGAGAAATTGTTGCCATTGACACGTCGGCTATGAGCGATTTTGAGCCCCATTTATACTAACGCGGACTACTTTAGTGACTTTTGTGACCTGGAGCGGACTATTACTGTGAAGAGGATATAAGGAGGTTTGATGTCTCAGGACGCTGGCCTCGGCCACAGGCACATACATACAGATCATTCATCATAAAGTACATTATGCTTACGAGCGATGCCGTGCCGCACTATGCTTACTACCTTAACATTCAACGCTTTTTGGTTTTTGAAGATTGGTTTACCACTTTTTGATGATAAGTAATGAATGTGGTGAACTTGAATATAGTTCTCAATATAAATGGATTTTGAAAATAAATGATTTAGAATTTCTTTCAGCTAGCGAAGATTGACGCAACGACGAAGCCTTGAGCTGTAAAGAATGCTAAAACGACGCATAAAGACAGGGTGCACTAACTCAGCGTACTTTATTGTTGATACGGAGCACATTTGCGCGCATACTCTCACGAGATACCGGTACTACGTACTCGTTTCGATTAGTTATCCACGTCATAGCCGCTCCGTGTCTGCGTCACGTCGACGTCACGATTACGTCATGCCTTTTATGGTCATGCAAGTCCTCGGTCGGTCTATGACCGCGCGAGCGAGATGGTTGTACTCTACTTTAAGCATCATATTAAATACCGCTCTTCTACAAATAGTTTTCAAATCTCCCAATACAGTTGGCATACCTTGAACTCTAAGAACTCGTATAAAAGAAAAATGGGATAAACTGGGAACAAACAAAAGTTTTTCACGTTCATGGAAACAGCCAGTTTATCTGTTCCGTTTATGTATGTTACCTGCGGGTGAAGCCGGACTCAAGCCCATAAAACAAAAATAGATTTATTTATTCGACGTTTGTGTGGGCGTGATACTGAATTATTTGATAGTTTATGGTCGTGGGCACTGGCCTGCGGATTTGTTCGTATACATTATTATATACTTGTTATTTATCATTTAAATATCGTTGCCATATTACAACGCCGTCGTTATAAATAATCACTTTAACCTGAAAAAGTTCTAGAAAAGTCCGACTAGTCGGCCGATTATACGTACATATGACGTGGGCAATATACCGGAATATATTTCAAAGAGTTGGTGAACTTAATATAGGGACTCCTGCCTTTAAGTCGATAGTCGCGTTCTATCTGGAAACTCATATCCGCTTAATTAAATGGTAGCGCAGTAATCTGATTACAGAGGTCAGTGAAATCAACGTGTAGTTACTAACCGAGCTAAATGTATTACGAACTCGACTGGCCGTCATTTAAAATGGATGTCTGTGAATATTTTTAAGGTCCCTGGTTTATTAAGTTACTGTCGGCCTACTTATTCATTTTTAATTCATAACTATTTATAGTGTTCTATTTTGTGGAATGTGATTAGATTTTAAAAGAGAACGAAGAAATTGTTTTAATCGTGTAGGTAATTTATGAATGCCCTTGAATGCCTTTTGTATGTGTGGGTAATTTGTACGATATTGTTCATATATAAACTACAAATGGAACGTCAGACTCGTTCAAATACCAAAGCTATACGCTCGATTCAGAGTATTGATGGAATAGTTATTTCAACCTTTATTCCCGGTTTACTAAGGGAAAATTAAATTTCAACGCAAACCGTTGTTGAATTTGATTTTTATTTCGCCGGCTTTTGTTTCCTTTTGTGAATTTGATATTGGAATTCGTGTTGATGAAAACTGAAAGGAACTATTATGTATTTATATATATTTAAGCTTTGACGAATATTTACTCAACCCTGCTTTGAATAATAGATTGAATCCGTGTAAAAATATATAAAAATGAATCGCAGATAAGGTATCAACATCCCGCTTAATTTGCCATTAGGCGAATAAAGAAATTCAAATTGAAAAAAGGGAAATCCGGATAATCAGATGGAATATAAATCAGCATTGGTGGGTCCGAATTAAGCGCTCTGTGCGATCCGGTCGGGGCTTACACCCAATCTGTACTAATAGCATCCAATTCACCAGGAATACGAGGATTCGACGATTCCATGTTGTTTTGAATATGTAACGCATCCAATTGAATTTAGAACGCACTTGTGTACGTGTAAAATATCTAACAGTATGTTTATTCAATGAGTTCAAGCTGTTGTTGTCAGCATATTTTTTGACTTTTGTAGGTCACCGAACATCATTGAGTTTTTGACATTTTTTCCATCTTGCCACTGTCGGATATAAATTGAACGGGTCATCTAACTAATTCAAAACCATATGTATAAATAAAAAAATAGAAGTCTCAAAATTTAATCAGTTTTTTAATAAAATGCAAACCATAAATAAAGAATATAGTAAATATAAGGAGCTGTATATGCAAGTTGTCTAGTGGGATTCGTAATTT